TCTCAATTCTATCATGATACGACAGTCACACAATATCCATAGTAACATATCTTATTACTTCCTTCCTTATGTAATTTAATCTCAGTTACTATTATTTTACCCTTTGTTTAGAGCACTTCTTTATTGCATCTTAAATCTAGTTTTATATTGGCATACAAATTCCACTTTGTCCTGCTTTCAGAACTGTTCAATTAGTTTGTTTGGAGTTGAAAATATCTCAAATCTGGTCAAACAAACTGAAATTTGACAAATTGAATTTTCACAACCAATATTCAAAATATTTTCAACCAATCATGTATTAATTCAGTTTTTTGTCAGGTAGTAAGTAGCATCAAAGCTAACAACAATTTCTTTGATTAGTGTTTGTTTTGTTCATTCATAGTGGTTAGTTAGTATGAACCTACCTTAAAAACTCTTAGTGTGATAATATGCAGTTAGCAATAAAAGAAATTTATAGCTTTTCATTTGTGTACTTAACTACTATCATTCATAATGAAATGCTAAGTTATTAAGATGTTTTTCTGTTCCTTATAACATTATAGTCAAAATAAATTTATATATATTCACTTTTAATTATGATTATTACTATAAAAATTTATAGTTGGTGTTATATATTTTCTATTTCTTCCATTATACAAGGCATTTTTCAAAGATGTCACTAAACTTTAATAATCATTCTATGGGTCATAAACATTGCTATAATTTCAAAATGGAGCATTTTCAGTGATGTTTTAAAATTAATTATAATTAAATTTTTAGTTGTAAATTTTTATTACATACAGATCTAATAAAAATTAATAGCAAGCTATGGTTTTGATGTCTGTTTTTATGGAATATCAATTAGACTTCTGATTGAATATACGGCTCTAATTTGTTTTCAAAAATCTGAATGTAAAACAAATAAAACTGTACAACCAACAGACTGCAGAAAATCTATCGGGCTAGTTTTATGCTAATTATTAAATAAATTACGTAATCAATTTGGTACTAGAGGTAAGCGTTAGGCGCCATCTCTTATTAATATTAATAATTGTA